TGTTAGGGAAGGTTGACCTAAGACCCTGCCTGTGAGATAGACCCCTCAGGGCATATCTAGCACCCCACTGGGCACAGCTCAGGCAGGTGTTCCCCACATTCCAGTCTCTGTCCCAAGGGTTGGGGGAGGGAGGGGAAGGAATGTTTCATATTTGACCTGAAAGCACAGTTCCAAAGTAATACCAGTCAGTAATTCGGCAGGCCCACTGCCAGTAGCCTCTGAGTTGAACACATGACGCATGTGGGTGGTGTGTAAATGTGTGTATGTGAGCATGTATGTGCATGTAAATGTGTGTATGTGTTTGTGCTTATAAATGAGTGTGTGTGTGTGTGTGTGTGTGTGTGTGTACACACACACACACACATATAGAGATCACAGGATTTACCGCATCAATGAAAAGACTCTCCCACTGGGTCTACCATGTCCCTATTAACAAAGAGAGGTCTCCAGAACCTGGCTACTGTGTCCCCAAGAGACACCCCTCAAGCCCTAGGGATGGGGGTCAGGCAGGGTATCCCACTCCCAACAATAATGCTTGGGGGGCTGGAGCAATAGTATAGTACAGCAGGTAGGGTGCTTACCTTGCATGTGACCAATCTGGGTTCAATCCCCAGCACCCCATATGGAGCCCCACCAGGAGTTATTCCTGAGGGCAGAGGCAGGAGTAAGTCTTGAGTGTCCTCCCAACCCCCATCCCCAAAAGACAGACAAACAAAAACAATGCCGTGGACCAAAGGGTCTCTTCATATTGGCAGTTCACTTACTGGACCCCATTCCTATGAGTTGCCACTGGAATTGTTGTGTGTCCTATTGCAGCCTCCCAAAAGGACAGCATCAGGCACAGGGATTCCCCAAGAGTGGGTCGAGCCTGGAACCCAGCACAGGTTACCCTGAGGTCCAGCTACCTGTGGCTGGAGACAGCAGGTCTCCACAGGGAGCTGGTGTACCAAGGGCCCTGGGGCCATGCGATGCTGCCTTAGCCTGCCTTCAGGGATAGGGTGCTAGAACCATCGCTGCTTAGTTGCCAGTAAGAAAGATGAGGTGCTGGCCCTCACCCTTCCCAGTGCCTCAGCACCCCAGGGTGCCTGTGCCCGCTTCATTCCCCAAAGATGGGGACTCAACACGCCCGGACTGCTTCCCAGCACAACCTGCATTGTCCCACTCTCTTCCCTCCACACACTGCATTGTCCCACTCTCCCCTCCCCCCCCCCCCCCGCCCATTTTGATCAGTTATTGACCCCCTGAACTGCTGGATAACTTCTGCAAGAGGCACAGCGCTGGTTTTCAGCTTGCACTTGAAGCTGGTAGATCTGCAGATGAGCTCACCAGTCCTGCCCACTTCCTGGGCTCACACTGTCTCAGAGTCTGACCACCTTCCTCTATAGCTATTCTCCCTGAAGGCAAGTTCCAACAGGAAAATAGCCACAAAACAAAACAGAAAGCCATCAAGGAGAGCACATTAACCTCAGCTCAAGAGCAGCTGGAGTGGTGAGGACAGTCAGGACTACCCCCAGTCACTCGCTGGCCTTAAGGCTGGGAGCTGCAGCCTGCTGAAGAAACACAGTCCTGGTTTTATTAGTTTATTTATATATATTTTGGGTTTGATTTTTGGTTTTGGAGCCACACTCGTCAGTGCCCCGGTTAACTCCTAGCTCTGCTCTCAGGGATCACTCCTGGCTGGCTCAGGGGACCGTACAGGATGCCAGGGTCAAATCCAGCTGGCAGCATACAAATCAAATGCGCTACCTGCTGTCCTATCACTCTGGCCCTGTTTGTTTTGTTTTAGGACCACACTTGGCAGTGTTCAGGAACTACTCCATACTGTGATTGGGCGTTGGGGGGCGGGGGGTTATCCTTGACGGTGCTCAGGAGACCATGCTGTGCTTGGTTCAGACCCGGGTCTCCTACATGCAAAGCATGTGCTCCAGTTCACTGAGCTCTCTGCCAGAAGGACAACTTTGGACCAGATAATCTTGAAGATCATAGCAAAACTTTTTTTTTTTGGAGGTTCTGGGGACTAAATTTAGGGCTTCGCACATGCATGACAAGTACCCTACCACTGAATTCCACCCCCACCCTATTGTTGCAGAGTGTAGGATGGGCTATAATCAACATATTTTGTCTGGTTTTTGGAGGTCATGTGCAAAGCAGGTCATGGATGAGGCTGATGTGAGTGGGTTGCTGGCTATCAGTTTATGTATTGTGACTTCAGACAGACACTCACCTCAGAGTCTTAGTTTACTTTTCTGCAAAATGGGTTGCATTCTACAAGTGTTTTGGACCTCATTTGCTCCGTGTTTGGGGTCCAGTCCCATCTCTTTCCTGACATTCTCGGGTCAGTGATTTTTCAAAATGAGTGATCAGTCATTTAGCCCATGTCCTCCTATCCCTTCTACCTATGTGTGGCTGGCAGGACGTGATTGTGCATATGATTTTAAAGGATTTTACACCCTTTCCCCTCAAGTCCATTAAGGGGTCCTCATTGTAACAACCCTTCTCTCGGTTTGATCTCAATTGGCCCATGGGTAGTCTGTCAGGAGTTCCTGGCCCTTGCTGTTTTCCTTCTGTGGAGCTGGGCTTGGGTGGCCTGCCTGCAATGGCATTGTAGCCACCACCCCAGACAGCTTCAGACAGCTTGCTATTGTCTCCCGGGTGGGCATGTTCTCTAGGACACGATCCTCAGAATTACACGTGACCCTGTTGTGGAGTGACTTCTCCTAGGTCTTCATCACAGATCACAGATCATCCTGTTATTCGTCGATTGCCTCGAGCAGGCCCCAGTAACGTCTCCTTCATCCTAGCCCTGAGATTATATTCAAGGCTCTTTAGGAGAATGAGACCCATCATTGTTACCGGTATTTGGCATATTGGGTACGCCACGGGGAGTTTGCCAGACTCTGCCGTGTGTGCAGGCTAGGTCTTCATACTCAGAAAAATCAAGTCTCTGTGGGTATGCTTAACCATCTGTGTATTTTGATTCTGCTGGGACTGATCGGTTAGGGTACTCGGGCATCCAGGCATTGGCCAAGCACATGTGCGTTCCCCCCTCCCCCCCACACACACACAGAGTTCCACAGCCTTAGGCTTGTCTCTGTAAAATCTCCCCTCCTCTGAAATTTTGTGTTTATACTAATTCCCTCAGCTTTTTTGTTCTGTTTGTTTTGGAACCAGACCTAAAGTTGCCTCTGAGTTATTCCTGGCTTAGTGTTTGGATGTTACTCCCATGGTGTTTGGGGGATCATGAGATGCCAGAGATCAAACCTGGGGTTCCCATATGCAAAGCTTGCCCTCAGCCATTCGAGCTGCCTTCCCCAAGCCTCCCCTAGTGTTTTGACATTTTCCTCTTGGATGAGTCCTTGTAAACACCTCTCTGGTGCAGAATAAAATATGACATCAATGTGTGGGTTCAGAGGGCAAGATGATGTTTTTGCAAATGGAAGCCCTGGGTTTGTTTCTTGGCATCTCATGTTTCCCTGAGTACAAGCAGGAGTGGACCCCCAAGAACCAAGCCAGGAATAGCCCCTGAGCACAGCCAAGTGCCCCTCTCCTTGAAAAAACAACCTGTGAGTTCAGGAAACAAAGCAGTAGGAAAGTTAGGTAGGGTACTTGTAGCCTTGCACATGGTCAGCCTGGGTCCCAGTACCTCATATGGTCCCCTAAGCACTTTCAGGAGTGATGTCTGAGTGCAGAGTCAGGAGTAAGCCCTGAGCACAGCTGGGTGTGACCCCAAAATCAAAACCATAACAAAACAATATGTGATTCATTTTAGGATCTATTTTAGGACTTGGTGTGGATTAAGGAGTTTCTGAGTCTCCTTGTGAAGCCACTGAAGCAGCAGCACCACTGAGCTGCAGGCAAGGGCTCTGTCCTCTCGGTTAGACCATCTTTCATTTATTTATTACTTTGGATTGCGGGGAGGTGTCTCCCCATGGAGTGCTCAAGAGCCTGCCAGGATGGCCAGTGAGTTTCTCAGGCTGTTAATGCTGTGCTGTTTGGACCTAGAGGTGCCTGGAGCCCAGCAGGGTACACCCAACAACGCTCAGGGGGTCAGGCCATGCCAAGGATCAAACTCCAGGCTGGGCACATGCCAGTCATGTGCTCCAGCCCTTTGGGCAATAGCATGTACACAGCAAACCCTGACCCACCACCCCTAATACTTGGTACTTGCTAATTTTGTAAAGAAATGAAAACTCATTGACTATGCTTGAAAATGTTTGCAATCTTCCTTGAAACTTTTAGCAAATTGATGTAAGAGCTGTCAACTGAAACTCAGCTGAAATCCTCCTTAATGGCTCCACCAGCAGGGACTTGTTGGCGCTGAGAGTCCACGGGCCCCAGGGAATGGGAGGAGCCCCTCTGGGAGACGTGTGGAGGAGAGATAAGAAGCAGGGGCAGGGGTGGCTGGGCCCCAGAACCCTGGATCTGGATCAAGCATGGCCTGGGGTGTGACTAGGAAGCTCAGAAAGTACAATCAAGACTCCTGAGTCTATCTGTACTTGTTTTGTGTTTTGGGGACCACACCTGGCACTTACCATGCCAGAGCTTACTCCTGGCTCTGCACTCAGGAATTACCTAGGCTCAAGGGACCATATGGATTGCTGGGGATTGAACCCCTTTGACCATGTGCAAAGCAAGCACCCCACCTACTGTTTTATCACTCTGGTCCCCACCTGTACTTTTCAACAAGGCCAAGAGAATTTTCGCCCTAAGTCAAGTACCCAGACCCTCTGGATTGCCCAGTCCCCCAGCTCCCACTCCTGTCTTCGAGGTTTGGGGGCTGCTGGTGGGAGTAATCACCAGCCACCCCCCATTTCCTTCCCGGGGTGATGGAAACAGGGCCAGAACCACCTCCCTTTCAGAAGAAAGCTGGTTCCCGCAATGGCAGTGTTCAGAACCTTCCCCAAGGCTGGGAGGACTGTCGCGTTGGCACCAAGACCACCAATGGGCTGGGAGCAGCCTCTCTGCGTACTGGGCTCACACCTGCGTCTGGTCTCTTGCAGTGGAATCTGGTGTGTGAGGAGAACTGGAAGACACCCCTGACCACGTCCCTATTCTTTGTGGGCGTGCTCCTCGGCTCCTTTGTGTCTGGGCAGCTGTCGGACAGGTAAGGAGGAGGGGGGCAGGGCCCTGGTCAATTCACTGCATGTGTTGGGGTTGGTCTGCATTTAGGGATTTCTCCCAGAGAAAGGTATGGAGCCACGGAATGCCTGTTCTCACATGCCTTACTCAACCCCCCTTGCTAGAATGTACTTTGGAGCAGAGCTCCCAGTTTGTTTTGTCTTTTTATAAGAAAAGGTAGTTTTTATTTCATTTTTAAAATTTATTTTGTTATTGTTATTGTTTTAGAGCTTACAATCTAGAGGGAACAAAATTAATGGATGCAGAGAATTGTTCGCTGACCCTTGAATGTTTGAAGTAGGGCTAGATTAGGAAGAGGGAATACTAAATGACAGATTCGGGGAAGGCTTTAGAGCTGGGGTCTAACACCCAGAGGCCTGAGTTCTGGAGGCTCTTCTGCTAGGAACTGTGTTTTACTCTGCCCATCAGCCATCCTCAGAACTTGAACTTAAATCTCCAACAGCACTAACCTGACTGCTGCCTGAGGCTCCAAACTCACTGCACAGAGCCTTGCAGTTTTGGTTGCAGAATTTCACCCAGGACACTTTATTTTATTATTTTGGTTTGGGAACTACACCCCACAAAGCTCAGGACTCACTCCTGTTTCTGCTCACAGGTCACTCCTAACAGTGCTCAGGGGACAATATGTGGTATCAGAGGTCAAACTGGCACTGCAAGGCAAAGCCTTAACCCTTTTGCTATCTCTCTGGCTCCTACCTGGGACTTTTTTTTTCTTTTGGGGCCACACCCAGCAATGCTCAGTGGTTACTCCTGCCTCTGCACTCAGAAATTACTCCTGGCAGTGCTCAGGGGACCATGTGGGATGCTGGGGATTGAACCCAGGTCAGCCACATGCAAAGCATATGCCCTCCCCGCTGGACTATCGCTCTGACCCCAGACATTTTTTTTAAACCCTAATATTCAAGCTGCATTGCAGTCATGGGGCTGGCACCAGTAGCTTTGGAAATTCACTGGATGCAGCAAGGTTGAAGGCCCCTGCACGAAGGGACAGGTATGAGTCAAAGGGATTTCCCTTTTGCCTCTTCTGTAGTCTGCACTACTCCCGATTCCCACAGACACAGTGGCAGCTCTCACCCTGATCCTGTGTCAGCTGCGCAGTCTGGACTAGAGGGTGAAGGTCTCAGAAATGACCTCCTGGGCAGAGAGATCAGGGAGGACCCTGGCAGGATGTAATGGGGGAAAAAAAACAGCTGTCACAGTCAGTCAAGGCTGCAGCGGTGCCTGGAGCAGGGCAGACCCGCCTCCCTGTTGTGGCCCACAGTGACCCATCCTGTGGCTCAGTCCATGGTGTGTGCCGTGCTCTCCCCCACAGGTTTGGCAGGAAGAACGTTCTCTTCGCAACCATGGCTGTGCAGACTGGCTTCAGCTTCCTGCAGATTTTCTCCGTCAACTGGGAGATGTTCACAGTGCTGTTTGTGATCGTTGGCATGGGCCAGATCTCCAACTACGTGGTGGCCTTCATCCTCGGTAGGAATGGACTTCTCACTGCCAGGGCACCTCCTTCTGACCTGTGAGAGGCCCAGGAAGAGAGAGAGAGAGAGAGAGAGAGAGAGAGAGAGAGAGAGAGAGAGAGAGAGAGAGAGAGAGAGTGTGCGCGCACGCGTGCGCACAGGGAGAGATAGGAGGTACTTAAGAGAGCCTCTGGGAGCTATTACTCAGTCTGGAAAAAGTGTCTCCCATCCTTGTGCTATGCTTCCAAAACATGGTTGGCTTTGGATGTATGCACGGCAGGGTTGTCATCCCAGTACTTTGGCCCTCACAGGGAGCAGCTCTGTGCCAGGCCCTGAACAATGGTGGTGCGTCAGAGCAGAGCTGGTCAGAGCCACACAGGAACTTAGTCATTTTTGGAGTACTGGGACTTAGGAGAGGCACTAATGAGATTGTGGAGATCTGGGACAAAACGGTGTTCCTGGCAGCCGGGCATAGTCCACAAAGGGATATGGAATTTTGGGTAGATGGGGTGGCTGGTACACTGCACAGTAAGTGAAATGTACCTGTGTCTGCGCGCCATCCTAGGGCAGATAGGGCCTCACCCCATTCCTGAACCACCCCAGGAGCGTATCAGCTTCACACAGGCCCTGCCCCTCTGCACTGATAATGTGTGTCCTGCCTCCTGGCTGGTATTCTGCCTCTGGGGTCTCAGGCCACATGGGGTGGGGAATCATGGCTGCTCAGAGCCAGAAGGAGATCCCCAGGGCCCTCAGTGTTTTGTTTTTTTTTTTTTTAAAAAACACAAGGAGCGCCTTGCAGGCTCATAGGAGCAAGAGTCCCCCTCATGCTCTCTGAGCAGCTGACAGGCTGGAGGCGCCTCTAGAATAAGGGTTGCCGACTCCCCAGTCTCTGGCGCAGCGGGAGATCCTTGGTGTATTATGTGCTCACGGTTTGCCCCTGTGGGCACAGCAGGGGAAGAGGTACCTTTCATGTGAATCTAGTGATTCTTTGTTATCTGGGACCTCCAAAGCAGTGCGTGAGGACCCAAGGTCGCTTCCAGTGACACTTTGTCCAGCTATGCTGGCCTAAGACTTCAGTGCTTGGGCCTGGCAATGCCATATTGCTCTGCCCAGCAGTGCTAGGGTCACGGGCCAAGCCAGGCAGTGCTGGGGAGAGGTAAGATGTGGCACTATTATTCTCATGTTTGAAACACCCCAGAGTTCATATTCCTTTGAGGGGACCTGTCCTCACTCTGAAAAACACAGTGTGCCACTCTGCTTGGCTAGAGGCAAACTAGAGGCAAACCTCCTCGCAAACAGAGGAACTGTCCTGAGGCCTGCAGAGCCTGGTGGGGGCACTCATAGCCCCCCGGGATTGGGTCAGGGTGAAGTGCTGTGTTCTGATGGGAAACCAGGAGGAAGTGTGCCCCCATTTCTTGTGAATGGCCAGTATTGAGATAGGTATTTCTGGGGGGTGCCCATGCCCCTCTCCTGGGTGAGGGAATGAGGATATGAGAGCTCCCTCGCCCTGCCCCCTTCCCACATGAAAGCCCTGCCCAGTTGGCCCTGAAGCTGCAGTGGGTGCCCCACCCTGCTCTCAGAGAGAACAGAGAGGGCCCAGGGCAAACCAGATCAGAGGGTGGGGCGGGGCACACAGGCTTCCCCCCGGTGGGACTCTGGGAGCTTCCCTGAGCCTCTGTGTTCGGGAGTATTCAGCAGGAAACCGCTGACTTTTGTATCTTGCTGTAAAACTCTGTTAGGGTCTCAGATCTGAGCATTTGAACTTGTTATTGAAACCTGGTGGGGAGGATTGGAACAGCCGCGGTGGACTCTGCCTGCCTGGCCACACCAAAGCAGCGCCCTCTGGTGTTGTAAAGTGGAAATACTCGAAATGGGGGGAGAGGGGGCGGCGGGCCAAAAGCAAGCATGGGGTCTGGCCCGAAACCTTCTTCTGGACCTTTGCTTTTACCATAAGGGCTGGCGACAAAGAGCCGCAGTTTTCAGTCTTCATGTTCATTTAGGAAGCAGAATTATGCCTGCTCTCAAAGCAGGCCAGATAGCAATCCTTCCTGACTCTGTACTTAAAAATACGTTTTGAGGTTGCCGTGCAGTAACAGAGAAAGAGGAACAGTGCCACCCTCAGGGAACATAAAGTGGGTACATCTGGATGTGTGGAACCTGCCGGAAAGAGGCTGGTTTAGAGGAAACCCTCAGAACCAGGGACCCTGACCCCGTCTGGACCCTAGAACTCTTTCACTCTATCTTACCATATCCCCAAAGGACCCTTATTCCCTATCCACAGCCTCTTAGGAAAAATGCCGGCAGCATCACCCCACCTCATAGTCCCGCATAACCAGCTGTTTGAATTTACTCTGCTCGGCTGCCTTCTCCTCTCCTACTGCCCCACTGATTCAGCATCTTCTCTGTCCTCCCTGCCCTGCCTCCACAAACCTTCATGCATGCAGATCTCTGTTCTGTCTCCTGTGTAGGTGGTTCTTCCTTTCTGTCAGGGTTGGCGTGGGGCATCTTCCTTTAGAACCTGCCTAGGCTGGAGAGATCGTACGGCTGGTAGACGCCTGCCATGCATGTGGCCAACCCGGGTTCCTGACACTCCATATGGTCCCCTGAGCACTGCCAGGAGTGATCCCTGAACACTGCCAGGGTCCCCCCATCAAAAAAAAAAAAACAAATAACTGAGATCTAATCATCACCACTAAGCAGCCTTAATCAGTTACATATTTGAAAACTGTTTACAAAGCGACACATTTTACATGTCTTTTAAAGTATATCACTCTTTTAAAGTATTTAATTGATCATTAATATATTCACAAAATTGTGCTTCAACTTTGAACATTTTTTATCACCCTCAAAGAAACCTTGTATCACTAGCAGTCTGTCCTGGCCTGCCACCCCTCCCCCTGGACATGTCTACTGAGGAGGTGGGACAGACACAGTGACTGGCCCGGGGGTGGGGGGGGGAGGTTCTGCATATATGCAAAGTGAGGAAAGGTTACTTTTGACTAAGATAATCTGTGAAGGTTATCAGAGAGAGACCCTAAGCAGGGGAGAGGAAAAGAATTGAGAGCATTTTTCAAGGAGCAGAGAGATTCTGCTATCTTGCCTCAGATCCCTTGGTCAAAGGCATTGTGCTTTTCACCAATCCCCTGACCTCTAGCACATCCCACCTATTTGACTCGGATGAAAGGGTCAACTCTTGCTGAGCAGTGATCACCTGCCAGACTTTCTACCAGGCACTCAGCAGACATGACCACAGTCTTCTCATCATGAATCCAACCAGTAGGACTTTCCAAATTGCTCTCACAGCACACGAGTGCCAGGGAGCCCAGGATCCACTAAGTCCAGCCTTGGTTCTTGAACTCAAGTTCTGCTGTAGGCATCTGCTGGTCACTCTTGGAGGAGTAGTGAATTCCTGGGGTCCCACAGAAGCATCATGATAGACGTGGAAGTGACTGGTCGAATTGAGGTTGTGGTGACATCGAAGCCCCTTTGAAACTCAGCCAGATAAAGAGCAACTGGGCTTTGCCCCAGGAACAAAAACCTCGGGTATAGAGAAGCTAGGATGTGGGGTCCAGAGGGAGGGATGATGGGGGCTGTCCCCAGTCAGCAAAGCTCGAAGTCTCCACTGTCACCTGTCTGCTGCCAGCTGCGACAGCTGCATACTCAGCAGCATATGCTAGATTAAGGGCTCCCCACATGAGGCTGGGGTAAGGGGCGGGGGTGGGGGGCTCTTGTTAATCCAAAGATGGGCCCAGGAAGGGACAGATCCTCTGTGGAAGTAGGGGTGGCCTTACCCCCCACCCCCATCCTACACATGAGGATCTTGTTGAAGAACTGTTTCCTCCAGCCAAGGCTTTGGCCCCAGGTGATTATTTTTCTGGAAGGCATTTATCCATAGGTGGGGTCTCAGGCTCTAGTCCTGGCCACCCCCATTTATATGTATATGAATTTAGGCAATTTGTTTCCATTCTTTAAGTCACATTTAATTTTGTGTGGAAAGTCATAATAGTTCTTACATTAGCATGATGGAGATTCAGAGCAATAATATATGTAAATAGTAGCTTGGGACCTGGCTCAAAGTGCCTTTAAGACCAACAGGTAGTGAAGAAAGTGATGATGATGATGATCAGGAAGGGTCATGGGCTAAGGCATCCAGTGGGAAACTGCACTCATGGGGAAGGATTCAGGCTAGTGCCATCCAACTGACTCTGCACGAAGATGCAGAGAGAGATGGAAGCTGGATCTGCTCATCCCCACAGGCTCTCTGCAAAGTAAGGACCACTCTGTTCTGGTCTGAAACTCACATTTAGAGACAAGAGTAGTGGTGTGGCCCATTCCGTGTAACCTCCCTCTCTCTATTGTCAGAGTCCTGGAAGGAAGTGCCCGTGGCCTTCCCATCCTACAAGCATCACACTTGGTCCTGTCTACTTTCTCTTTTTCAGAATCAAATTATCTGTTGCTTCTCTTCTGATTCTTCCTAGGAACAAAGCATACTCTACCCATCCCCATCTTATGAAAATTCCAGATGGAGTGTTTAGAAATCATGGCCTAGTGAGTCTTCCCTGGGAGGCCTCGGAAGATTAATGAGGGAAGAAAAGATCTGGAAATTACACTCATAATCCTCAAAAAAATCAGGCCCTATCCTTTGGGATCAGTGGCAGAGAAATACAGAAGGTGATAGTCTAGTATATATTCTTGAGTGCTAGAGTTGCCATGCAGAACTGGATCTTCCTTTCAGCATGGTTTTAAGAAACTTCTGTTAAGAGGGTACCACAGAGGCACAGCCCTCAGTGATGCTGAGAGAGATGGGTAGGGGCCCAGCAGGCAATGAGGATAGAAGAGGAGCCAAAGTCAGAATTTTGCACCTTGTCTGGAATTAGCCCTTAGCATCTAATGTGACTGAGAAAATTTTTCTTGAAAGCCAGGCTTGAAGAATTTTGCCATCATCATTTTGTTGGAGGTTTCGTTTGTGTTTTGGTTTGGGGGCCACAGCTGGCTGTGTTCAGGGTTTACTTCTGGCTCTATGCTTAGGGATCACTCCTGCCAGTGCTCAGGGAACCATTTTGGGTGCTGGGGATTGAACCCCAATCGGCCTCGTGTAAAGCAAGTGCCCCACCCACCATACTATCTCTCTGGTAGTATGTTTAGAAATCATGTTTAGAAATCATCGCCTAATGGGTCTTGGTTTTGCATTTTCTGATGCTACTGTGCCGTGGTGGGCAGATCTCAGCTCCGAAGTGGCTGTGCAACCACTGGCTAGCTCTGTGCCCTTGCTCTAGGCAGCCGGAACCCCATGTCCAAAGAATAGAACTAGTTCTCAGAGTCCCAGTCCAGAACCAAGAGCTGGGGTAGGGAGGCAGGGGGAACAACATCTCTGGGGGAACTAGAGTCCATCAGAATAGCAGGAGCTGACAGCCACGAGCCACCTGCTGTGTCCTTTCCAAAAGCAGGACAGTGCTGTGCAGTCTCAGGCCTGTGGTATGCTGGGACACTGGGGCAGCTCTGGGGCCACCTCCGACCAGGACAGCGGGTGTTGCTTTCTTGGGCTTTCAGGGTCTGTGTCTACCTGGGGCTAATCTTTGGGTGCAACGTGGATGTGGGGAGCCTACTCTAAGGACCCTTAAGATACCCTAAGAACCCAGGGAGCCAGCTGGATTCTCTGTATCCTTTCTCAGGGCTCTGGAGTGGCCGAGAGTACTCTTAACATGTCTCAGATATGTGGACTCTTGTGTTTCTCGATGAACCACACCTGTTTATGGACAGTGAAGACCCATGGGGAAGGCTTAAGGCACCCCACACAGTCCCCTAGAAAGTCCCTTTCCCTTGGACCCTAGGATACCCTCTCTGTGCTTAACGTGTGGTTTTCCTTGAGAAATGAGGCTTCTCCTGAGGGGTGATTGCTCAGGGCTGGGCATGATATTTCTGGAACAAGAGATGGCCTTGCAGGAGCTGGAGCCACAGTACAGTGGATAGGGTGCTTTCCTTGCAGGTGGCCTACCGTGGTTTCATACATGGTATTCCATATGGTCCCCTGAGCCATATGGAATATGGAATAATTTCTGAGGGCAGAGCCAGGAGTTACCCTGAGTATCACTGGGTGTGGACCAAAAACAAACAAACAAACAAACAAACGAGATTGCCTTGCAAAATAGGGACCTGTGGCTCCTTTTGAAGTCTCATGAAAAACCCTTCCTTGGAAAAGGAACTGTCTCAGGTCACATCCCACCTTCCTCTACCCTGACCCCTCTGCTCAGGGCCAGGAGGCAAACATCTTTTCCCTTTTCAAAATGGTTGGATTTGAACTCCAACTAGGTAATAATGTAAAGAGCAAATGTTAAAGTGAGTGAAAAATGCTAACATGCCTCCCTTGTTTTGAACAGGAACAGAAATTCTTGGCAAGTCAGTTCGTATTATATTCTCCACATTAGGAGTGTGCACATTTTTTGCAGTTGGCTACATGCTGCTGCCCCTGTTTGCTTACTTCATCAGAGACTGGCGGATGCTGCTGCTGGCGCTGACGGTGCCGGGGGTGCTGTGCGTCCCGCTGTGGTGGTGAGTGTGGCCCGGTCCCAGACAGCCCCTTGCAGAGGGACCAGCGTGCCCGGAGCCAAACCTGGCGTGGACCTCGTGTGCGCATGCGTGATCTCCCTGGCATTGGCCGCGTCCAGGCCTTGAAGCCCAGAGTATTGGCCACCGTGAGGGGGCTGCTTTGTACTTGGGTCTTATTCTCCTCTGTTCTTAGGAAATGCAGCCCATTTGTGTCTGTTGTTTGTGGACATGGTACCACCATTGGGCATTGTTTTAAACTATGCCTATGGCCCTTTGACTCTCTCTCTCTCCCTCACTCTCTCTCCTTTTCTGTCTTCCTCTCTCTCTTCCTCTCTTCCTCTCTTCTCTCTCTCTTCCTCTCTTCCTCTCTCTTCCTCTCTTTCTTTCTCTCTCTCTCTCCTCTCTCATATCTCCCTTTTTATCTCCCTTTTTATGTATTTAACCAATATAATTTCCTCAAACTTCCCTATCATCCAATGATTCACAGCGAAGGGATGTTGATAGGTCTGGTCTGACTGGGAGAGAGTTAACTTGTTTATTGACTTTCTAGCAGAGTATTCTCTCCTTTTCTCTCCAACCCTTCAACCCAGTTTTGACACAAGTGGGAATAACAAAGAAGCTTGGCGATAGTGAGCCCAGTTTTATGCAATATGATTATCTGGGATGTTACAGACAAGAAAAAAGACTGGGACTAGTGGAAGCAAGGGATATGGCTCTGGTAGTAGAACATATACCTAATATGTTCTGACTGCAATCTCTAGGACCACATGGCCCCCCAGGTACAACTGGGTATACCCCTGGTGGCCCCAGAGTGCTGGCAGCTATCCCTTATTTAAAAAAGAAAAAAGAAAAAGAAGAATGGAATAACATTCCAGCCATACCCTCTCTTTTGAAATTTCCCTCTTTTTTGGTCTTTCATATTTAAGCAAGAAGAAAGGAAGTTTCTTCCCTTAGTGAATCTGTTTCTTCCTTCTTCCATTTTTCTCCCCAACTAAATTCTTCCTGTTTGGTTTCCTGGTATCAAAATGGAATCTCCCAATAGTGGCTGATTTTGCTGAATGGCTTGATCTCCATGAAGGACTCTCTTCATCTTCCTGATGAATCACAACTGTTTAGCGACACTGCAGAACTGTGGGAAAGGGTAAAGTCACCCCACACCGGCCCAAGAGCTCCTTCCCTTTGTCCCCGGGACACCCTCTCTGTGCTTATGCTGAAATTTTCCTTCCAGAAGTGAGGTTTCTCCTGAGAGATGACCATTTGGGGCTTCATTTTTTGGAACTCACAGTTTAATCTTCAGGGTTGTACCATCTCTGGTCTCTTTGCCGAGGAAGTTCCCACGAAGGGACTTTACCTCACTAGGAGTGCAAGGCAACCCCTGAAACTGACAGGCTTCACCTCTGGGTCTTGCTGACCCAGCTAGCAGGTTGGACCACTCCAAACTACTTTACTATTTTTCATGACCTCTAAGGCAGAGGTGGCTTACCAATGGTAATTGTTGGCATGGGACATAAATGGGGGGAAAGAATGCTTTATTTTTTCCTAAGTTTCCTGGAATTTGAGAGACAGAGAGTTAAAGGTTAGATATTGTTGGAGACTTCCTCTGGAATGGAACGCAAGTTTCAAATAAAGCAGACTGTTTTTTCCATAGTGCTATTACAAAAAAAGCATACCAGATTTACAATATCCTGGAATGATATTCTGGAATGAAATCATTACCATCATTATCATCATCACTGTCGTTATCATCATCATCCGTCTCAGTTCCTCTCTCCGCAACCCCCTCCTAAATGAATTGTAAAAGATCAACATTTTCAAGTGATTAGTGGTTCTCTCAGCACATGTTACTCAAAGATTATTGTATGTCTCTTTAGGTGAATGATTTTGCTCACCTTTGTTCCCTGGCTCTGAACTCAGAGACCAATACTTTTAAAATATGTTTTAACCAAACTTATTACTGTATTATTCTGTGTGTGTGAGAGAGAGAGAGAGCAGTCAGGGAGAGAGAGGAGTGGGGGAGGGGAAGAATAAAAATAAATAGAGGGGTTCTGATCCCCAGAGAGAAAGGGCTTTAACTTGTAGGATTCGCCTCAGAATCAGATATCACAGTGGGGAGCAAGTCTGGTGTCAGCTGAGCTGGTATCTTTCCCTGAGGAGCTCCTCACTCTTGCTCTAGGGACAGAGTTGCTTACAAGGCAGTTTCTTGTGTGTTCCTGGCTGCGGGCACTGCCCCAGACTGAGAGTCAGCACTCACCAGTCAAGTGCTCATCTGGAAAGCTTGACAGCAGTCTTATAATCTTTCTATAAAAATATCTCCTTGAGGGGCTGGAGCAATAGTACAGTGAGTAGGACACTTGCTTTATTTACATCTGGCCCAAATTTGTATCTCAGCACCCCATACGGCCCTCCAAGTCCCACCTGAGTGCAGAGTCAGGAATCAGTCCTGGGAACTACTGAGTGTTCCCCCGAACAAACAAAATAACAAAACCATCTTCAGGGTGGGACTTTGTGGAGAAGTCTTCACTAGTACTGAGCCGCCTGGATGGTATGGGGATTGCTTGGGGCTCCCTGCTGATGGGGAGGTGCTTCAGCAACACCCTCCTGTCCTGTTTGAACTCAGTCTCTGGAGAGGCTCAAGTTCATTTGGCACTGCACTGCCTTTGAAATCATCAGCTGCACTTGGGACTTTGCACGCCCAAACCCGGCAATTCCAAGGTGGCAATCCCAGAAGCCCTGGGTTTAATGGACTGGAAATGGGAGGAGAAGTACATGGGGCCTCCACGGGCATGTGGGCACTTTCATACCCCAGGTTTCCTTTAAACCATTTGGCCGTAACTGAGTGGAGTCCGTGTATTGGGGTGGGGAGTTCAGATGGCAGCATAGGGAAAGCTCAATGCTAGGAACCCTAAGTGCAGCGATGGCTCTCAGGGCAAGGAAGATGGATGTTTCTCGGCATGACCTAATTGGGAAAATATACTACTCTGCAGCAGAGGAACCTCGAGAGAGTAGTTGTGTGGTTAGATCGAAGCCTGTGGGGCTACGGTGCAGCCATTTACATTATGATTAATTTAAATTAAATTAAAGATTTGTTTCTTCACCACTCTACTCCCCCTGGTGCGATTGCCATTGATGGTTCGTGGGTAGCACAAGGAGTGAACAATTACAGAAGTTGCCTTAGAGAATTCAGCCTTAAGTTGTTAGGAAGGTCCATGACCTAACATCTCCACAGTGGCTTCAGGAACTAAGGGTTATTCTGAAAAATGTAAATGTGATTTATTTGCAACCTAGTGTCCTAGAAGCTTGGGGAAGGGAGCTGGGATCTGCTATCTGACAGCTGTGTTTGACTATGAGTTTAGCTTGAGATTTTGGAGTGGCCTGTTCGTTTTAGGCCTCTCTACTCCATGTAATTCATTTTCCAAGATAACTAAGTCCTGATGAAGAGTAAGGAAAACATGAGATGGCAGAAGAGTGTCAAGAGATTTTGAGAAATACATATTAGGAAATAGAAAACTACAAATAAATATGTGATAAAATTAATAGAAATAGAAAAAGACAAATGAGAAAAGAAGTCAGCTGTTTTTCAAGTATCATTTGCACATGTAGCTAGATTACTTTTAAAAATTAAATTTCTAGGGGCCAGAGAGATGGGACAGGGTTTAATGCATTTGCCTTGCAAATAGCCAACCCTGTTTTGATCTCCAGCACCATATATGGTTCCCTGAGCCCCACCAGGAACAATCCCTGAGCACAGAACCAAGAGTAAGCCCTGAGCACTTCTAGGTGTGGTCCCAAAACAATCACAGCAAAATTAAATTTATGGACCTAAAAAAAAAAGACAGTGTTGGCTGTTTTCTCAACACTGGTTTGAGTGCTTGCTGACCTGGGGGACGTGGACACTCTAGGGAGAGCTCCCAGGAAGGAAGCCATCTATTCACCGCCCTCTGGCATCATTAGGTTCAGGGACGTGGTCACCCTGGCCAACAATCCCCCCAACAAACCCATGCACTTCACCAGGTGGGGCCTCAGGATGCTGCCAGGTTCTCGTGCACACACTGAGATAAATGTCACCTGCTAACCAGAGGCTGAGTGTCTGGCAGGAGCCCACTGCCTGGCAGGGCTCAGAGGGCATCTCTGGCGCCCTGGCCCTAGCACCCCCTTTCCCACATCCCCTGTCTATTACTAGCTTACAGAACAACCTACCTTTTTTGGGATTGGATCAGAACTTTGAGACTTGAAGATGCTTTTATTTATTCCTAGAAATAACAATCCTATAGCAATAGAAATCTGAGGAGGCTTCTCTCCCAAGTTTCTTAGAAAGACAAACTAGAATGGGACAAAGTCAGAATTATTTGGGGGCCATGGAGGGTTGGGAGTATAAAACCCAGCAATTGTGAAAAAATTATAAACCCTTCAAAATGAATTCTAGGTTTATTCCTGAATCTCCCCGATGGCTGATATCCCAGAGACGATTTACTGAGGCTGAAGATATCATTCAAAAAGCTGCAAAAATGAACAAAATAACTGCCCCAGAGATGATTTTCCGTCCTGATGAGGTAAGCATTTGCAGATGTTTCCTCCGGAGAGTGACTCTGCATTCTTGGTTGGGTGGAATTTAATTTTATTCAATTATTTTGGGGGTATAGGGACCTCCCAGGCAGTGCTCAGGAGATCCGGGGGACCTCACCACTGAGTCTCAGCCAACCAGACCATCAGTTCAGCTCTAGGGCCTGAGGATGTGATGCTGCTTGGACCCTGAGTGTCAGGATATCCAGGTCACCCCCTCTGGGGCTGCACCTGGCAATGCTTAGAGGACTGCATGGTGCTGAGCATGAAACCTGGGTTGGGCATATACCAGGCATGCCCCCTAACAGCTGTTCTTTCTCCCAGCTCCTATTCAGTTGGGTTTTATGGAATTTAATTTTAAACTCCCCCCCTTTTTTTTTTACTTTTTTATTGAGTCTGTTCATCATTGGATTTCAGACATACAGTATTCCAACACCCATCTCTCCACCACTGTATATTTCCCAGCACCAGTATCCCCAGTTTTCCTCTCATAACCCCCCACTCCCCACCCCCTGCCTGCCTCTATGGCAGGTGCTTTACTTTCTCTCTCTCTCTTTCTCCCCCCCCCCTTTTGCTATCCCCACCCCTTTTTTTGGTGCCCATTATGTTCTACATACTCTATAGGGGTCTTGGGGATACATGATGATTAAGCTTTGAGAGAAAAATCACCTTTAGGGGCCACAGAAATAGTACAGTAGGGAGGGCATTTGCCATGTAGCCAACTTGGGTTTAATCCCCACGTCCCCATACGGCTCCCTGAGACCACCAGGAGAGACTCCTGAGTGCAGAGCAAGGAGCAAGCCCTGAGCACCACTGGGTGTGATCCCAAAACCAAAATGAATGAGTAAATAAAAGAACATCACTTCTAAGGGCTGTATATGAACTGTAGCACTGTAGCACTGTCCTCCCGTTGTTCATCGATTTGCTCAAGTGGGCCTAGTAACGTCTCCATTGTGAGTCTTGTTACTGTGTTTGGCATATTGAATACATCACGGCTAGCTTGCCAGCTTTGCCATGCGGGTGAGAGAGTCTCGGTAGCTTGCCAGGCTCTCCGAGAGGGGCGGAGGAATCAAACTCGGGTTGGCCTGGTCGGCTGCGTGCAAGGCTAAGGCCCTACCCTCTGTATTATCGCTCCAGCCCGTGTATGAATTAAGTACAGTAATATGCAGCTTGCTTGGCATATAGCAAGAGTTCATGAAATATCAGTTCCCTTTTGTTTAGAAAGCTTACCTACAACTTTTTTTGGGGGGGAAGGTAATTGGGCTACCTATAAATATACCAGTCCTATACTGTGGATTTTTGTTTGCTGTGAGGATGATACAGGTCAGTGCTGGGGGGCTGCTTCAGGCTCAGTGCTATGGACCATGGGGTGCGGGGGTGGGAGGGTAAAATGCGGTCCTCCCTGGGCTTGCTCTTTCAAACCCATGTGCTCCCTTGAAAACATGATCCTCTCTTTCTCTCCCATCAGGTCTTTGGAAGGCAATTTCATTCAATAAAAGCTATCTTGCTTTTACTTAAAAAAGAAAACAAACAAACAATCAACACATCCCTCCCACAAATAAAGCCTGTACTCAACCCTCATCCATCTCCCTGGTTTTTGCTGGTGATTTTTTTCTTTCTTTTTTTTTTCTTTTTTCTTCTTTTTCTTTTTTTTTTTTTTTTTTTTGCTGGTGATTTTTAAATATTTCTATTAAGTGGCAAAAAATGTATTGGTGGAGTTGGGAGAGATAGTACAGAAAGTGGGAACTTGCTTTGCATGCAGCTGACTCGGGTTTAATCCCTGGAACCCTGTATGGTCCCTGAGCACTGCCAGGAGTGATCCATGAACACAAAGTCAGGAGTAAACCCTGAGCACCATGGGTCTGGACCCCCCCCAAAAAGTATAGGAGACCTGTTCTGGTCATGGGCCTGACATGCCCTGATCCAGCTGAGGAAGCTGTGCACACCCAAAACCTGCAGGGCTGCGGGCCCTCGCTTGCTCCCTGGGAAAACAAGTCAAGTTACGCATGTGTTTTATTGTAACTCAGAGCGTCAGGGAGATGAAGGAGGAGATGACTGAGTACAGGCTAAGTTTCCAAGAAGTGGACAATATGTGCAGCCAAAGAGGGCGTGCACAGTTGTTCAGGGCCTGGGGGCAGCTTCAGAGAGGGGAGGAGGGGATGGGGCACGGGGTGGGAAGGCAACCCAATGGAGGGCTGCTTAGGGCACTGTGAGCAGGTGGTCAGCACTCCCCCTGCTCAGGTGTGCCCCACTGCAACCCCAGAAAAGGAGCCCCGTGCAAACCCATGTGTCCCCCACCCCCACCCCCAGGGCATCCTTCTCAGGCCTGCAGGAACTTTGACAGAAACATCTTCCTGAGCCAAGGCTGGGGGCTATTTACAGTGGCAGAACCCAGCCTCTTAGGGCTGCCAGAGCAAAGAGCACCTTACCTTTTTCTCAAGAATTTCACTCCCAAGCACTGCTGAAAGTAGACTATAGACCGAACACTGGCCACTCAATACCTCTATTGTAAACCACAACACCCTAAAGAAAAGAGAGAGAGCCAAAGGGAATGCGCTGCCACAGAGGTGGAGTGGAGTAGAGGGGGGATGGGGTAGGGGGTGGGAGGGTTACTGTGTTTCATTAGTGGTGGAGAATGGGCACTGGTGAAGGGATGGGTATTCAATCATTGTATAACTGAAACCCAAGCACAAAAGTTTGAAAGTCTACAACTGTACCTCATGGTGTTTCACTAATAAAAAAAATTTTTTTTTAAATTTCACTCCCAGGGACTGGAGCAATAGCACAGCCAGTAGGGCATTTGCCTTGCACGCAGCCAACATGGCCGACACAGGTTCGATTCCCAGCATTCCATATGGTCCCCCGAGCACCGCCAGGAGCAATTCCTGAGTGCATGAGCCAGGAGTAACCCCTGAGCATCGCCTGGTGTGACCCAAAAAGCAAAAAGAAAAAAAAAATTTCACTCCCAGCTTCAGGCAGTTAAACCAAATGCAAAAATAACACTGGGAGTGGCTAACATTCTTGCCCCAGGGTTGTGCTGGATATCATTCTATAAGAGTTGGATTTGTAGTCTGAGTTCTGTTTCACAGAAACTTACAGATCTCAGACCTCCATGGAAAAGGTAATTATGAAACATGGAAGAGATGCAGCGATGCAGATGAAACAAAAATAAAGTGCAGTGTCAGACACATGCATTTGGCAAGCCTGGTTGCTCCCTGCCATGAGGAAGTTCAGGTTCACTGAACCTTTTGGGCAAGCCAGTGAGGGGCAGAGAGCATTGCTGGCCCAGGGTCTCCCTGGCTCCTCTCCTGGGGAGGGGGAGGGTGGAGGCCCTGGGAACAGTAGTCAGTCCGCTCAGAAGGATGCTTCAGAGCCTGGTATATGCCAGGCACAGAGTTCTGCCCACTTGCTGCTATGCTCACCTTGGCTCACAGGCCAGTTTTTCCGAAGGATGATTGGGTACAAAGTTCAGTCACTTCCCAGGACCACATAGCTAGAAGTCAATGGATCTGTCTGGTACCAAAGTGAATGCTCTTATCAGTAGTGCTTTCCTACCTCCTGTTGGGTCAGTGGCATTAACCTGAACAGGAAATAACATAATATCTTAAGGGGCCAGAGAGCTAGTACAGAGAGGGGGTGAGGCGTCTGCCTGGCATGCTGCCAACCAGGCTTTGACCTCTTGCTCCTTTTAGCCTCCTAAGCACCACCTGGTGTGGCCCAGCAGGTCCTCAAAACTGCAGCACCTGAGCAACACTACATCCTTGGGTTCCACTGACCGAGTGTTACTGGACCCTTAAATACTGCTTGGGAGGACCACCTCCCAAGAAAGCATCTTTTTTTTTTTTTTTACTTTTTGGGGTCATATCCGGCGATGCATAGGGTTTACTCCTGGCTCTTCACTCAGGAATTACTCCTGGCGGTGCTCAGTGTACCATATGGAATGCTGGGAATCGAACCCGGTTTGGCCGCGTGCAAGGCAAATGCCCTACCCGCTGTGCTATTGTTTCAGCGCCCCCAATAAAGCATTTTAAAAGTAATTTGGTAGTCTTGTGGGCCAGACAGGTCATGTACTTGTCTTTTTTTTTCTTTAATTTTTTAAAAACTATTTTATTTTTATAAAATTGTTCACGGGCTGGAGTGATAACACAGCAGGTAGGGCATTTGCCTTGCAAGCAGCCAACATGGCCAACCCGAGTTCGATTTCTCCGCCCCTCTCAGAGAGCCTGGCAAGCTACCGAGAGTATCTCGCCCGCATAGCAAAGCCTGGCAAGCTACCCGTAACGTATTCGATATGCCAACCACAGTAACAGTTGTCACGATGGAGACATTATTGGGCCCGTTTGAGCAAATCGATGAACAACGGGAGGACAGTGACAGTGAAAATTGTTCACAATATTTGATTATATTTAATATTCAAACACCAGTTTCACCACCATTATACCTTCCCGCCACCATCTTTCCATCCTGAGCCCCAGACCCTGCCCCCCAAGCAGAACCAAAATAATTTATTTTGTACTGCTAGTACAGCAGGTAGGGCATTTCCAGTAAAAATAAGACCAAAAGTGCTAGTACAGCAGGTAGGGCATTTCCACCAAAAGGTTTCTTAGAGGAAGATATGTGAAGATTGTTGAATTTCACCCAAGAACCATTAAGCCCTAATATAAGAGATTAGTAACATGTTGTTAAAGGTTGAGCCTTGTGTGCTTATATCTATATCTGTATAAATATATTCCCCCCCCCCCTTAGATTGGTTACCTTTTACTTTAAGCCCAATCAACTGTGGTACACTACTCTTCATAGATTGGTGGTGTAAAGTACAGATGTCATGAGGTCCAGGTATAGATTCACTCATGGGTGAGGCTTGTCTGAGCATGTGGAGAGCACCATGAGCATGGTGGCGGTTGAGTTCTGGAGGTTTTCGGCTGCTGGGGCTCTGTTGGGGTGCGGAGGGTCCTCACCTGCTCCCCTCCAAATTGCCCCAAATGAAACAGCCTGGCGCAGGGTCTGGCAGCATGGCTAGGTGTATTGACTTGTCTTATTTATATGAGCCCCTGGATTTAAGGGAGTGGCCCTATGCAAGCAAGTGACCTTGGGTTCTCTGACCTCCCTCAGAACCACCTTCAGCATGCTGGGGGTGCTGGCTCCAAAGGCATTCTGATGGCTGTACACAGGCCAGAGGCACCACCAGACACAAGAACTGTTTTTACCTGAATTTGCCAAACCTGGATGCTTATAGCAGTCATTCAAGGAGCTCTAAGAATACAGTCCCCAGGCCCCATGGAATACCCAGCAGGCCCAGAGAGGGGCACAACAATCAGGGTTTGGGGAAGCATCCAGTGTGCCCTGTTCCATATATGGCACCCTGCCACACCAGCAGGAGGGCTTCTCTCTTTCAGACTTGAAACATTTTAGTTTCAGTTGAATAACTGTGTTTATCAGTATTTCTAATAAGTGGCAAGTTAAATTTTGTTTCTTATCTTTCCGTGTGTGTGTGTGTGTGTGTGCGCGCGCGCGCGCGCGCGCACGTGTGTGTCATACCCAGTGGTGCTCAGGGCTTACTCCTAGCTCTATACTCAGACATCATTCCTGAAGGTAGTAAGGAGGCCATATCCAATGCTAGGGATCCAACCCAAGTTAGCTGTGTACAAGGCAAGTTACTTGCCCACTGTACTATCTCTGTAGCCCACCCATGTGGAAAGTGGCAAGTTAACTGTAATAAATTGAAACTAATTGAGGGGATTCCACATAGAGTGGTAAGAAATCGCCACTGACAACTTGCATTTGTTCCTCAATTATTATGATAGTAATAATGCTATAGTTAAAACATGTTAGACCTTTACAATGGTTCAAATACAGTGCTGCTAAGCTTTATACTGTCACTGTCACTGTCCTCCCGTTGTTCATCGATTTGCTCGAGTGGGCCCAGTAACGTCTCCATTGGAGACTTTGTTGTTACTGTGTTTGGCATATCGAATATATCACGGGTAGCTTGCCAGGCTCTGCCGTGTGGGTGAGATACTCTCAGTAGCTTGCCGGGCTCTCCGAGAGGGGTGGAGGAATCGAACTCGGGTTGGCCATGTTGGCTGCGTGCAAGGCAAATGCCCTACCACTGTGCTCCAGCCCAAGCTTTATACATATCTCCTTTTGTCTTCTCAGTACCCAATTAGCATACCCATTTAAAAATGTTTTGTTGTTTTTTGGGGGGGACTGGAGCGCATAGGGCGTTTGCCTTGCACGCGGCTGACCCGGGTTCAGTTCCTCCGTCCCTCTTAGAGAGCCCGGCAAACTACCCAGATACTATAAAAAGAGTATCCCCACCCGCACAGCAGAGCCTGGCAAGCTCCCCGTGGCATATTCGATATGCCAAAAACAGTAACAAGTCTCACAATGGAGACATTACTGGTGCCCGTTCCAGCAGATCAATGAACAATGGGAGGACAGTGCTAAGTGCAGTTTTTTGGGGGCCACACTCTGTGAGCTCAGGATGTGCACCAGCAATTACTTCTTTTTTTTCATATTGTTATTTTTTTTTAATTTTTATTAGTGAAACACCATGAGGTACAGTTGTAGACTTACAAATTTTTGTGCTTGGGTTTCAGTTATACAATGATTGAATACCCATCCCTCCACCAGTGCCCATTTCCCACCTCCAATGCTCCCAGCATCCCTCCCACCCCCCACAACCTCCTATCTCACCCAACCCCTGTGGCAGGGCATTCCCTTTTGTTCTCTCTCTCCTTTTGAGTGCTGTGGTTTGCAAAAGAGGCATTGAGTGGCAATCATGTTTGGTCTATAGCCTACTTTCAGCATACATCTCTCATCCTGGGAGGATCCTCCCAACACCCTTTACTTGGTGCTCCCTTCTCTATCTGAGCTACCTTCTCCCCCAGCATTACACCAGGAATTACTTCTGGTGGTGCTCAGGAACCATATAGGATGCCAGGGATCAAAACTGGGTCTGGTACAAGCAAGGCAAGTGCCCTACCAGCTGTACTATCTCTCAGATTCCAGCATACCCATTTTCCAGAGAAATAAACTGAGATTCAGAGAGGGTAAAATGTGGCTTGACCAAGGTCTCCAAGGATATGATCAGGATATGATTGTTCTGAGCTAAGCAAACACAAGATTGTTCTAATGCTAACAATAATACAAGTATAAAAAGCATATATATCTATATATACATGAGCTCTATGGCCTTACCCTCTCAAGCATCCCTTAAGGAAGCAGCCCAGTGGGACTCATGCCCCTTGGAGTGTCAACCAAAGAGTATGAAAGGCTAGGCTTTCTAGTAAAAGACAGGGACCAGTGTTATAGGTTTAATAGGCTTCTGTCCGAAATGGGCCACACATATTTCATAGTGTTAGAGTAAATATTCCTTATGTTACTGTATCACTGTATCACTGTTATCCCATTGGTTATCGAATTACTCAAGTGGGCGCCAGTAACGTCTCTATTCCCCTCAGCCCTGAGATTTTAGCAGCCTCTTCTTACTGGTCTTTTCCCAACAATTGGAGGCTCTTGCAGGGTCAGGGAAATGAGACCTATTGTCGTTACTGTATTTGTCATATTGAATATGCCATGGGGAGCTTGCCTGACTCTGCCCGTGTGGGCAGGATACTTTCCGTAGCTTGCCGGGCTCTTCGAGAGGCCTAAGTGGGTAGGAAGTGTCTTATAATGTGTTTCGAGGCTGCAGCAGTCCAGAAAGCAGCCACAGTGGTCCAGAAAGTGGCCTGGAGCGTGGCGGTGGTTGGGCAGTGGAGGTCGGCTGCTGGGGCTTGGTCCCTTGGGGTGGGGAGGGCTCTCACCCATATGTCAATGCTCTTTTTTCCACCAAATTTAAGACTTCTGTGTCGAGACAGTATCTGTGCAAGTTTTACCTGTGTTGCCATGGTTGGGATCCTACTCACTCCCCTCCTTCTCGTGGTTATTTGCATTATTTTAGCTACAGGAGCTGACACCCCTGAAGAAGCAGAATGTTTACATTCTGGACCTGTTCAGAACTCAGAATATTGCCACAATAACCATTATGTCTTTGCTGCTGTGGTAAGTGTCGTGGAAATGGGGTGGCAGTCCATGATTATTACAGCTTCTACTCTTTTCATGAGGGAAATTGGGCAAGACCTGGGTTTGTGACACAAAATAGAAATGATAGGATTTTAAATTATTTGTATGTGCTGCCAAATTTCAGGCATTTAGTCCAGTTATGGGGGACCTTTCATGCCCAGGGAATATCTCCCATAACTGGATGCTGAAACAACCTCCCAGGCTCAGTATTTAAGTCTACAGTCCTGTGGATCACAGGGAAAGGTCCCTCCCCACTCTACTGGGATAGTGATGTAAGGATCCTGTGTCTGGCATGCAAATTCATCCACAGCTCCCCAAAACTATGTCTGGCTCTTTATACTGGTTAGTAGATAACTCACAAGAGGTTCAAAGGCAGGGAAGTAATGAATCAGAGCAGTAAGCTAAGTATAAGGACCTGTCTTCCAAGAACAGTGAAAAAAATAGAGAACATTTTCATCACACACAACTAGCTGGTTTAGAGTGCAGCTCATCAATTTCTAGCACCCTGATGTCTTGCCACCAGAAGAAGCCAGTGGCAGAGTTTCTGCCTCTTAGTTGGGCTTGTCTGTCTGAGGCACAGGACTTTTCTCGCTGCAGGCCTCATGGTGTTTCACTAATAAAAAAATAAAAAATAAAAATAAAAGAATTTGCAGGCACCCGCGCCTTGAGGCTTATCCACAGCACTGCCACAGCTGAGCCCATGATAAAGTAGTCAGCGGTTTTATCTGAGCTGTCCGAGTAACCAACGTGGAAGCCACTGAGCTTCCTAGAAAACTGTTGTTTGGTTTCAGATTAGCCCTTGAGCTTCCTAGCCTCGTTGAGTATGTCTACAAAGAGTCACTTTTAGAAATCCTATGGTTTTCAGTCAGGTTAATAAGAAGCAGATCACTATGGAGAGATCACTGTAAGATCACTTATTTGAGGAGAAGTTTCTACCTGGCAGTTCACTGACAGGCTAGGCTGTGCTCTTTGTAACTTTTTGATGCGTTATAGGATGGTTATACCCCTCCCTAAAGTGAGTTTTACTTCATCCGTTTGAATTTACTGGAAGTGAGGTACTGAAGTGAAGCAATATAACCTCCATTATGATTTCTTCCTTTTGCTAAGAATGGAGTTGGAACTTTATTTTCAATGAGGTCACTGACATTTTTTTCTTTCTTCAAATAGGAGCTCTAAGATAATGATGATGTACAATAAATAGTTCATGAAAAGCTGAAATTAGAAATTAGTATAAGAGTTGATGAATGCTGGTGTATCTAGACTAGTGCCATCCAATAAAATTTATGAAGCAATTCAAGTAGATTTGTATTGTCAGTACATGACTCGGTAATGAAAATGTGGCTAAACATGACTGAGACATTGGATTGGAGAGATAGTACAGGGGGTAAGGTCTTGTCTTGCACATGACTGACCCATATTGGATCTCACCACCCAATATGGTCTCTCAAGCACTGCCAAGATTGATGCCTGAGCAGAGCCAGGGGTAAGGGCTGAGCACAGCTGGAGTGTGGTCCAAAATAACAGGAAGAAAAAAATTATTAACGTTACATTCAGCTGGCTAGTTGTCAGTTTCAGGACAGCAAGATGTAGCCAATTTCTTGACATCATGGAATTTTAGAGGAACTCAGGGCATTGTCTTGTCAATTTTTCACTTTTTGGTTTTGTCTTTCAGGATGCTCACCTCTGTGAGTTACTTTGCTCTATCTCTTGATTCTCCTAATTTGCATGGAGATGCCTACTTGAACTGTTTTCTCTCAGCCTTGATTGAAGTTCCAGCATACTTTACAGCCTGGCTGTTACTACGAACCCTGCCCAGGCGTTATATCATAGCAGGAGTGCTGTTCTTAGGAGGCGGTGTGCTACTGTTAGTTCAATTGGTGCCTGCAGGTATGAAGTTTTAACCAATATTAACAGCTTACCAGAGATTTCCTTGTCCAGCCAACAAGTAATCAGGGTTCTCTGTTTATGAAGCCTTTACTTCATAAACTATTCGGCTGTCACAGTCATCAGTCCATTAAATGAGTGATTAAATGCCTTTTAAATGCCTTTTCCCTGGTTTATAATAACTCCCTTTAAATAGAAGCATCAGGGGGCTGGAACTATAGCACAGCGGGTAGGGCACTTTGCCTTGCACACGTCCGACCTGGGTTCGATTCCCAGCATTCTATACGGTCCCCCAAGCAACCGCCAGGAGTAATTCCTGAGTGCATGAGCCAGGAGTAACCCATGTGCATCGCCAGATGTAGCCCAAAAACAAACAAACAAACAAAATCAGCCTTTGAGAATCAGAAATCACCAACTGCTTTAGAAGAGAAACTTTCCCTGACATCCTATTCATAGGAACAGTTACCTAAACCCACGGACCTTTTCATTTATTTTATTTCTTTGCTTTGGGGGCCACACCTGGTGGCGCTCAGGGCTTAGACCTGGCTTTGTGCTCAGGGATCACTGCTGGTGGGACTCGTGCCCCATGTGGGGTTCCAGGGATTGAATTCGGGTCAGCCGCACGCAAGGCTAGCACCCTACCTGTTGTACTATCATTTTGGTCCCTTTTTAAATTTACTTTTAAAATTTTGTTTTAGTCCTCTTCCCTTCCCCTTTGTCATTGTTGCTGCTGCAATAACACGTCACACATAGCTTCTGTGGTGACCTGAGTGTGCGCTTTGTAGGTGGCATTTGTGGCCACCTACTGTCCCTAGCGTCAGTACAATTGGGGTGCGGGGTGATGGGAATGTGTGACCTCTTATTTGCAGGTGCCTTGCCTCTGAACCATTTCCTGCACCCTCAACTGTCTTTCTTTGAGTCATGGTACCCAGTTTCATGGCACCTTCTATCTTTTTTCCTGAGGTGCATATTCAAGGGTTAGAGTTGGTGGGACATGCCAGCTCCAGAATAAATTTAGTGATTTCTGTGGGCTATAATCTTTAAGTAGTTAAAGAACACAGAAGAGACATAAAGAGCTTTCCTTTATCCCTATGTCTGGCTTCCTTACATAATTACAATAGAGGGTTGATACATAGAATGATATGTGGAAATACACGTTTCTTTTTTTAAAATTTATTTATTGAATCACTGTGAGAGCAGTTATAAAGCTTTCGGGTTTAAGTCTTGGTCATACAATGATGAAACACACGTCCCTTCACCAGTGCACATTTCCCACCACCAAAAACCCCAGTATACCCCCCATTTCACTCCCTCCCCTACCTGTGTGGCAGATGGTTTCCACATTACTCCCTCTCTACTTTGATTACATTCAGTATTTTGACACCAGATCCACCATTATTATTTGGGATTTTACCCCAACACTCACATCTGCCGAAAAGGCAACATTAGATAATTTTTTTCTATTGCTGATAATAATAATAATAATAATAATAATGTGTGTGTGTGTGTTTTGCACTGCCGCAGTAGTGACTGCATGATTTTGGAATTCTGAAATCTTAGTAATTAAATCTGGAGGGATTTCTGCCAAAAGCTGCTCGGTTTCTGAGTCTCTGGGATCATGGTTTAAGTCGCTTGTTGAGTGGCCAGAGGGCTCGTTCGTGGGCTGTGATTCAGGGATCTCGTGGGGTGGGGAAGGAAAGGGACAGCCCTGCCCCCATTCCAGGAAATATATGTTTCTTGATAGGATTAAAAGGATTGGTCTTTCTCTTTGAAAATAACTTGCTGACACTTTATCATGAAACTGTTATAACAAGTAAAAGTGCACTAAGGTCACTGGGTGCATAATCTTAAAGAACAGTAGAGGGAGGGGCTGGATCGAGAGTACAGCAGTTAGAGTGTTTGCCTTGCACTGGACCGATCTGGATTCATTCCCTGGCACCCCACACAGTTTCCTGAGAGTCTCTCCAGAGTGATCCCTGAGCACAGAAGCAGTAGTAAACCCTGAGAACCCCCAGTGTGTCCCCAAAACTAAATCCTTCCCTGCCACACACAAAAGAAGTTTTTTTAAAAAACAAAAGACAAAAACCTCTGTATGCACTGTTTTTTAATTTTTTTAAATTACCAAGACATATATGCAGTTACAAAGTTGTTTATGATTGGTTTCAGTCATGCAATGTTCCAAAACCCATTCCTTCACCAAGTGCACATTTCCCACCACCAGTGTTCCCAGTTTCCCTCCCATCCTCATCCCCAGCCTGCCTCTATGGCAGACAACTCTCTCTCTCTCTCTCTCTCTCTCTCTCTCTCTCTCTCTCTCTCTCTCTGTGTGTGTGTGTGTGTGTGTGGCATTATGATTTGCAATGCAGGTACTGAAAGGTTATCATGTATAACTTTATCTCCTTTCAGCACTCAGTTCTTAGTTCTTGTCCAGAATGATCATTTCAAGCTAACATTGACACTGGGTTTTTCTTACAGAGTACAGCAGTTTGTCCATTGGTCTGGTGATGCTGGGGAAGTTTGGGATCACTTCTGCTTTCTCCATGCTGTATGTCTTCACTGCAGAGCTCTATCCAACCCTGGTCAGGAATATGGCAGTGGGGGTCACCTCCATGGCCTCCCGTGTGGGCAGCATCATCGCTCCCTACTTTGTTTACCTTGGTGAGATACACTGCAGAAGTTTGTTATTTTCCAGATATAAAATATGAATGGGTTTTTATTATGAAAGATTCAAACAATTTATATAGAAAGGGCTAGAAAAAATACAAGTACCTTTTCTCTCTCAGCTCCCTATATGTGACAGTCCTAGAAATCATGAATATTAGTCATTTATGAGTAATTCTTCATAAAGTTTGTTTTGTACCACATGCATTTGTTGTGTATATGTAATGAACACAAAATTATATTAACTATATTGTTTCACAACATTGAAAAAACTTTATTTGGTATAAGAATATCTTTGCCTATTGCTATGTAACATTCTCTCATGGTCTAGTTAGTACATGATTTTCTAAGATGATATGTCCATTATTTACTTGACCGGCTCATGGATAAACATTCAGGCTTGCAGGGTTTTGTTACTGCAGAGATCACTGCAGTGCACATTCCCAACACCCTCATACTCTCTGTTTCTTGTTTACATATATTTGAACTCAGAGTCACTGAAGTAAAATTTCTGGAGCAAAGATAAAATGTCATAGGTAATTCCAAATTGACTTCTAAATATACCTTACATCTAACTATCACTTTATGATAGTGCCCATTTTCTTGCATCTAATAACCAACAATGGGAAGAATTGACATTTTTAAGCATTGATGATCTGTTATGTAAAAACTGGACATCATCATTCCTCTCATTCCATTTCTTTAATCATGAGTACAATTGAGAATTTTTCATATATATTTGTTAACATTCCACTTAACTTTTTCAGTGACAATATTGCTCACATCTTTCTTCTAGCCTTTCTTCTAATGGGCTATTCAACATTTTCATATTGATCTGTGAAAACCCTTTGTAATCAAAAGAAATTAGTCCTCCGTATATATTTTCCCCCTTTATTCCCTTTATTCAATTTTTCCCCTTTATTCTTCACATTTTTACTTTGTAAAATGATCTGTGCAATGCAGCAAACTTTGATTTTTATGAAACCACACTTCTTGATCTGGACTACTACCACAGAGGAGTTTGAGAGGGATGTTTAGTAAATTGAGGATCTGCCATGCCAAGTCAAATCCTCATTAAGGGATCTACTGGTGAGAGATGTAGGCTCTGTCTTCATTCTTTTTCATCATTCATTGCTTATATGTTGATTCAAACACATAGACACAGACTCACACCTCCCTCTTTATAATCTGAGACATATTTAAATAACCAGCAAGGCATTTTTATCTTAAAGGAAAAAACATTTTATCTTAAACGTGGTCTGCAGAACTCCCAGCACTCTCCCCCTGAGAGTTTTATCATATAGAATGGTGTTATTTTCCTTCTATGCCCCACTTTCTGTGCTTTTGAGTCAAGTGGTGGAGTATTAATATATAAGAAATGAAGGTGTCTTTAAGAGAGTTCTACAATCCACATGGCTACTGCCTTTGTGAGACAGAGGCCTCAATGAAGCTTCAAGGTAAATGCTGATGTTTCTGTTTTTTCTTTAACTAATTGCACTCTTAGATGTGTTGTTACCCTGAAATCTCTGTACATTTTCATCAAAAAGAAACCAAATTCATCAAAAAGAAACCAAGGTCTGGTGCCTGACATTTATTGATTTAAATGAAATTGAAATTAGTACTTAGGTTTCTTTGTTTGCTTGTTTGTTTTGGAGTCTCATAATTCTGTGGACCTAAAGTTCCACTACAGCCTGCTGGTTTGAACAAAAGCAAAGGTCGCTCTGTTCTTAATGACCAGCAGCCGTCCCTGCCACACCATGACCAGCCTCCTTCCTTTCCTGTCCTTCCATCCCCCTTCTCTAGTTATCTCCACCTGAAGAGGAGAACTTTGGTAGGCAACAATTTCTATCAAACAAGCATTGGTCACACATGAGTAAGTGGTAGGTTAGAGAATGACAGCTGATACGAAAGATCTTATGATAGTGCAAAATCAGGGAGGTTAAGTGATGAGGGGAATGCTGTGGCAGCGGAGTTTGCCAAAAAGAAACCAACACTACATCTTGTTTCCTATGAAAAATGTTCAGATCTAAAACGGCTCTCAATTACTGTTTGCCACCAGTAAAAGATAAGTCTCAAAAGCATCTGGAAGATTCCTTTGTCTCATTGTTGTTTCTTATGTCCCACCCCTCACAGGTGCTTACAACAGAATCCTGCCCTATATTCTCATGGGCAGTCTGACTGTTCTGATCGGACTCATCACTCTTTTTTTCCCTGAAAGTTTTGGAATGCCTCTACCTGAAACTTTGGAGCAGATGCAGAAAGTAAAAGGGTAAGTGGAAAAATGATACCAAAGGGCCAGAAACATAGTACACAAGAAGGGCGCTTGCCTTGCATGCAGTGTGGCCAGCCTGAGTTGGAATCCTGACACTATATACGGTCCCCTGGGCACCACTAGGGGCACCATCAGGTGTGGCCTAAAAGGAAAGGAAAAGAGAAAGAATGGAAGGAAGGAAGGAAGGAAGGAAGGAAGGAAGGAAGGAAGGAAGGAAGGATGGAAGGAAGGATCGATCTTAAAAGATAGCACATTTTCTTAGAAAGGATAAACATGCAAGAAGAACAAGGAAGGTTCTGAAAAAAGTAGAATGTGCTTGATCCATTAACAAAGCATAGAGTGAAGCAATGGAAATTAGTGGGATGTGCCAATGTGCTAATGGGATGGAATATAAATTCATGGATTACAATAATTTGGAATTACTTCCCCCCAATATAAGAAAAAGTATGTAAAAGGTAGCAATTTAGATTCAGTGGGGAGAGGAGGGAATGCACATATTCAGGAAATGTGTTAGAAAATTTACCCAGCCACTTGGAGAAATAAAAAAATTAAATCCTGGGGCCAGAGAGATAGTACATCAAGTAAGGTGCTTGCCTGGTATGCAGCTGAGCCAGGTTTGATCTCGGCACTCCATATGATTCCCTAAGCACCACCAGGGTAATCAGTGAATGATGAACCAGGAGTAAGCCCTGAGTACTACAAGATATGGCCCCAAAACCAAAAACTGAACAAAAAGCAAAAACATGAAAAGCTTAAACCCCACTTCAAAATATATCTAGGATAGAGACTGGAAAGATAACCTCAAAAGTCTGGAGCATCTGCCTGTCTACACAGGGCCCGTGGTTCAATCCCTGGCACTTCATGCTCTCTTGAGCATTTATGAGTGTATCCTTGGCAACCCCCAGTACTGCTGGGAGGCTGCTGTTGCCACAAAAGGCATAGTAAATTCTAGAAGGAATAAAAAGTTTGGCTGAAAATATGAAATCATAAAGATACGGGAAGAAAAATATGTTTATAGTCTTAGAAAAGGTCTTTCTGAACATGACATAAAAAAAAAAGAGCCATAAAGGGACTAGATTGAAATATCTGATTATGTAACTTTATATACTGTTGGCACAGCAAAAGAAGAAATCATAAATAAAGACAAAGGTCAGCTCAGGGAGATTTTTGCTGCACAATATAGACACGGGATTAATATATCTAACAAACAAAAGCTCTTAGCGTTCAGTGGAGTAAACTCAACAATGTAGTAGAAAAACTAGCAAAAAATACAGCCAGCAGCTTACAGAGAAGGATGCTTCAGTGGCTGATCCATAGAGAAAGATACTGTCCACACTAATTAAAAATAAATAAAATTAAATAATTATATTTAAAAATGGTTTTGTTTTGTTTATTTTGGGATCACCCCCAGCAATTCTTAGGTATTATTCCTGCCTCTGGGCTCAGAAATTACTCTTGGTAGTGCTCATGGGACCAAGTGCCTTACCCACTATACTATCTCTCCAGCCTCTTGATTCCATTTTATTATTATTTGTGGACCCAGATGATTAGTACTTCCTTCAGACACTAATTTTTTTTTTTGCCTCCCCAGTAAGGCTCAGGAACCCACAGGCATACCACGTACCTGACACTTGATTCAGTGCTCAGAGTAGGGGACACTATGGGTTCCAGGAATGGAATTTGGGGCCTTATGCATGCAGGGTCTGTACTCATCCTTTTAAACCATTTCCCCACCCACCCATTTTTTTTTTCTTTTTGGGTCATACCCAGTGATGCTCAGGGGTTACTCCTGGCTCTGCACTCAGGAATTACTCCTGGTGGTGCTTGGGGGGATCATATGGGATGCCAGGGATTGAACCCAGGTCGACCGCATGCAACGCTAACACCCTACCCGCTATACTATTGCTCTGGCCCACCAATGACTTTTTATGGCAAATGGGAGTCCCCTAAATTAGTTCAATTACGACACTAACTGTGGGAGTTTGTGTCAGACTTCACAGGTTTCTGGGGTCACAAGACTGACCTCTCTTAAGACGCCACAGCAAGTATGAGGTCCCCCAGGTTGTCCGTACTTCCTTCTAACCTGGCTACAGAGTTAAGTGTTTCCACACCCACTTCTTCCTTAAATTCAGTACGTTCCTAGAACTCAGGAAAACACGACTTAGCATTCTGGGTTGATTGTGGATCTGAGGGTGAGTTCTGAAATGTCCAGACATAGAAGCTTCTGTTCCTGTGGTTGAGGAGTGCCACTCTGCCACATACGCATGCGTTTGCCAACTTGGAGGCTCTCCAAATCCCATTGTTTAGAGGTTAGTTAAGACATTATCATCACACAAGCACAATCAATTATTAATTCAATCTCCAGCCCTCTTACCTCCCTGGAGCTGAGAGGGAGGCTGCAAGTTTCAGGTTTTTAACCACACTTTGTCTTTCATTGACCAGCGCCACACCCCAGGAATGGCAGGGCCAGCCAAGAGCCACCTCTTTATAATAAAAGACCAGACTCTCATTACCACATTACTTGGAAAATTAATAAGAGATATAGGAGCTCTGTATCAGGAATCAGGAAGACCAGAGAGAGAGTGCAATGGGTCAGAGCACATACTTGGCATGAAGGAGGCCTGAGTTTGATCCCCAGCACCTGCAGTATCCCTTGTGCACTGCTGAGAGTGACTCAAAATATAAAAGAATTATAGAGAAAAAAGAGTTTTTCTATGATACGAGATTGCCAAATATTTCAAAGATAAATGGTTCATTAAGAGAAGTTTTAGATTCTAGAGTGAAAATCTTAGCTTCAGTTCCCAAGTCTGCTGCATAATTTTGATCGGACTACTGAATTATCACTAAACCTCAGTATTCAAATCGGGTTTTATGGAAATAATTCATGTGACTATTGTGAGGTTTATGTAAGTAAAATACTTTTAGTGCCTGGACATGATAAAGTTTATATTGTGGATGGATTCTGATTCCTAACAAAACAGATACAGCAAAAGGTAGCATTTTTGATAGTTTTTTTTTTCTTCTGATGCTGCATAACTACTTCACTATCAGCTTCAACTTTCAAAGTACCCCATGCTTGCCTCTAGTCTTTCCTTAAGGAAATTGTAAGAAGAGTTTAAATTGTGGCTTTTCTTTCTGTCTAATGAAGAAAATAGCTCCATGTTTTCAAAATGATAAAATGCTAGTCTAGATGCATTTTTGAAGAGGGTCTTGAATATTTAAATTTCTTTAGCACCTATCTTATTTTCAGGTTCAGATCTGGGAAAAAAACAAGACATTCAATGGAGAAAGAGGAAAATCCCAAAGTTGTAATAACTACATTCTAATAAAAATTTCTTTCCCGTTTGGTGACCTGGGAGACAAATGCATGAGACTCTGAAGAAACCCAAGTCCTTTCTTTTGGTGGGCCTTGCCGTTGAGAAGTGTGTGTCATCCAGAAAACTCTGTACAGCCCTTCCAGATAACCGTCTGATTTTTAAGAGCCAACTGTTCCAAGAGAGTTCTGAATGAGATGAGTTTCTAAGACTTCTTTTTGAAAGTGTGTGTTGGTCAAGATTGATGAAGCCATACCAAGATTAACACTCATTTATTTCCAAGCATACAAATGCAATCCAAATAAGAAGAATGTTATTGTATTAGCACAATAATCAGGTGACAATGGTGTGTGTGTGTGTGTGTGTGTGTGTGTGTGTGTGTGTGTGTGTAAGGGCAGTATGTAAGTGAAACAGCACATTTAAAATGATTGCTATTTTTAAAGTGAACTTACTGAAGTAACAAAACGATTATATGTAATAATCCCTTCTAAAAATATTTATGTACTCAGAGAAGACTGATATTAATTAAAAACATTTTAAAGTGAAATGCAGCAGATCTGAGACCTGGCTCCTGGAGTCAACAGAGAACCTAAGGCCACTCTGAGCGGTGGTGACAGAGGAGGCCCTCACAGCCAATGGAATGGGGCATGTGCTTTGTGCTCTTTTTGAATATGTGACTAAGTCATCTGTTTCCTAAGACTATTTCCTAAGAGATATTTTGCTGTCAAAAAGAATGAGGAAAACGGCCAAACCTGTTAGATCAGTAAAGATTACTTGCTCGTCTGTGTCCCAAAGCCAACCAGGGTCAGCACCCAGAAGGGCATCCAAGCCAGCAACCTGCAGAACCTTTTCAAACAGCCCTTTCCATCCATTCTTACCTTTCTGATACTTTACATGAAGCTGTTGCCTTTCAGGGGTGCAACTGATCTGGAACAGGGAATCTGAATTCCATGAAAAAACATCGTAAAAGATGAAAGTCACTGAGGAGATGATGCATTTCCTTAAGCTCAGAAAATGGCAATTAGCTATGTCACAGGGCTTGTTGAGATGGTACCAAAGCAACAAGTTCCTCTCAGACACTCAGGGACAACATGTTTTTGTTGAAAGTGAACACAGCAGGGTGACCAGTCCTTTGAATATGCCCAGAGCTCAGATACGCTTGTCATATCCACTGTCTCTGACATGCTGCTTGGCGGCAGCGTCTCCTAGAAATAATTAGCCCCAAGTGCAAATTTCCACTCTCAAATATTTTTCAAAGGAACCCTTGATCCTTGTTAAACTGTCCTTATTATATCATGATCCTTCTCTTGACCTTTTCTGATGAACTCAGAATACTTTTCTTTCTGTGGTTTGGTTTCTTGTACTTTTTTTATGTCCAAATCACGAACTCAGTAAATCTACCTTTTGACTATTACTATAAACTTGCTTGGATAAGTAAGGATAATATAGGTTTTGTCTGTGGGGACCCAGGTGCACAGCTCCATCTATCAGCGTCTTTGTGGCACGCTCTGGGGGGCTGGTATTCTTTACCCTGGTCAGGACATAGAGCAGTTCATGTGGCCTCCTGAGACGCTCTCAGCCAGCAGCCACTGCCCACCTCTCTGGGCTCCACTGGCATTTGTGACGCTCTTTCATTTGGGTTTTTGGGGTGATGCTCTGCCATATGGCATCAGCCTTGCTGCCTGGAGTTTCCTCTGCTCTGCAACTGTCACAGGCTTTTGATACATTAATTAAAAGAACTTTCAACTCCAGAGCCAGGGAGACAGTTCAAGGGTGCTGAAGTCTTTCCTAGCTGACTTGGCTATTTTCCACATCAGGATGACTTGGATATTTTCTTTTTCTCAACTTTCTAAATTCCAGAGTTAATCCTTTAATCCAATTCCTTGACTCTTTCTTAATCTACTTTACTCTTTCAGGTAAAGTGACAATGCTGATTACTCCTGACCCCACTTCTGTTCCCCATTGACATCTCCAGCAATAAATGTAAGGTAAAAGGTAAAGGCCCTCCCGTTGATCGTCGATTTGCTCGAGCGGGCCCAGTAACGTCTCCATTGGAGACTTTGTTGTTACTGTGTCTGGCATATCGAATACTCTCGGTAGCTTGCCGGGCTCTCCGAGAGGGGCGGAGGAATTGAACTTGGGTCGGCCATGTTGGCTGCTTGTAAGGCGAACGCCCTGGGAAAAAAAATAACAAACATGCTGACTTTAATCATTTTACTTTGTCAGACATTTCATCAGGAACCCTATTGCTCATGATAGCCATGTCCTGTTAATCCTAGTTCGCTCTCAGCAACCTCGTTATTTAGAATGCTGTCTCCTCCCCTCTGCTTAAATTGGGCCATTGCTTCCTGGTTCAACAGAGAAGAGCTGCAGGGGCCAGAAAGCTCGCTTCAGGTTCCCAAGCACCACCAAGACAACCCAGGTAATCCTGACACTACAGGGCCTGAGCAGTACCACATCCTTCAGCCTTGGCACTGAACTACCAGCCCAGTTGGAAAGAATCACTGGGAGAGGCCTCGGGTTTCCAGTGTACAGATTGGGAGATCTACACTGTCCCATATGCACACACAGAAGCAATGGGAGAAAACTGCCTACTCATTTAATAATCCACTAATCTAATTCAATTTGTACCTCCACACCCTCTCTATTCTCAATTACTTGAAATAAACAGTCTTTGCTTTTGGCACAGGACTTTATCTGTAGGGCGTTTGCCTTGCACGCGGCCAACATGGCCGACCCGAGTTCGATTCCTCCGCCCCTCTCGGAGAGCCCGGCAAGCTACCGAGAGTATTCGATATGCCAGACACAGTAACAACAAAATCTCCAATGAAAACATTACTGGGCCCGCTCGAGCAAATCGACGATCAATGGGAGGGCCTTATTAAGAAAAGAAGATAACACACCCCAACTGTAGTCATTTGTGCAAAGACTACAATACCAAAATAGTACCCAACCTAATTAGGACTAGGGATGTAGGTTGCTTGCCTTATATCTGAGAAGCCCAGGTTTCAACCTTCAGCTACATACACACACACACACACACACACACACACACACACACACACACACTTAAACATAGTTTCAACTCCTCCCAGAAATGATGGTCCCAGTCAACACTGGCAAATGTCACATAAACTCCTCAGTTCCCCACCAAAGAAAATAGGTCTTGCTGTGATAATTTCTTTTGCTAAATAACCCCTGGCCCTGCCCTATCCTCCTTCTGACCATAGAAACCTTTCAGTTTGTAAGCTCAAAGCACCTATCTACTAGCTAGATGGGACAAGTCATAAATTGTTGAATAAAGCCAATTAGATCATCCAATTTATTTAATTTTTTATCTATTTTTTTGCTTTTTGGGTCACACCCAGTGATACACAGGAGATACTCCTGGCTCTGTACTCAGGAATTACTCTTGGCTCAGGGGACCATGTGGGATGCTAGGAATCGAACCTGGGTCAGTAGTGTGCAAGGCAAATGCCCTCCCTGCTGTACTATCGCTCCAGCCCTATTTACGTAATTTTAAACTCACTTTATTTCTTTATCCACCTCTTACTCTCATTCTCTCCTTTTATACTTTGTGCCTAGACTGCACACTTACTCAAGGATAGTGTTCCAATGATTTTCCAGACTCACCAATAATTTCTCCTCTCTTCTGAACTTTTCTCATTCAGCATACAAACATGTTGTTATGTCTACAATGGTTTTTTGGTTTGGTTTGATTTGGTTTTTGTTTGGGGGCTACACCTGGCAATGCTCAGAGATTAATCCTGACTCTGCACTCAGAAATCGCTCCTGGCAGGGCCCAGGGGACCATATGGGATGCCCGAGATTAAACCCAGGTTGGTCAAATGCAAAGCAAGTGCCCTACCCACTGAACTATTGCTCCGGCCCTATTTCTATTTCTATTTCTACAGTGTTTAAGAGCTCTATCTCTCACGTTCTTTCTCTTTTTCTCCCTCTCTCTCTATCCTCTCTCTCTCTCTCTCTCTCTCTCTCTCTCTCTCTCTCTCTCTCTCTCTCTCTCTCCCCCCCCCTCTAGTGTTTGGGCCGATCCCTGTGGTGTTTAGGGATCACTCCTGGCAGGGTTCAGAGGACCACATGGGGTGCAAGGGATCAAACCTGAGTCAGCCAGGTAGGCAAGTGACCTACCTGCTAGTATCTCTCTTGACCCCAATCTGCCTTCAGCTTTTCCTCAAATTAATCAAAAGATTGCTCACTATTTGCTACTTCCAATTTTCTCCCCATTTTCTCTGAGCCCTCTCTTGTTAGGCATTAGCCCTCAGCAGAACACCTTTCATCAAGGTTCTAGGTGAGTTGCATGTTCTGAATTCAGAAATCAGAGTGCTCTACTTCCCTCACCTCTCAAAGCATCAGAGACTTATTTTTTTGAAAATATTTCGTAGAACCTCACATTTGCTTAGTTTTCCTCTAAGCCTTTGACTACTCCTTCCTTCATAATCTCTTTGGCTCTGCTCTCTGATACCTCAGACTGGGAGGGGATTCTTTTTCCTTGTGGAGGTTATATCCCAGGAGGAGTATTTCTCTGTCCCTAGCAGTCAGAATAAATACATCACATAGTAAGTGTTCAGTAAATATCGCAAAAAAAGATAAATTTACTGTTGCCAAGATTATTGTTAAATAGGAAAATACAATTAGTTTTCAAACAAGAAAACATTGGTTAATATACAGTCTTCTGCTTTACAAATAATCAAAGAATACTAATTGAAATGACAGTGCCATTTTTTAGCTAACACATGAGTGAAATTGCAGAGTGATAGAATATAATATTGATGGAAGTATGGGGAGATACACTCCCATAGTTTTCTAGTGAGAATATAAAATGGTTTATAATTTTTTATAAAAAACAAATTGTCACTGTTTCTAGAGTTTTAAATTTATAATGCTTGTATTTTCCTATGTCATCTCCACAATCAAGAGACATAGGACACATTTATTTACATAGATATGTAAATATAGATATGTATATATGGCATTATTCGCATATGTGTGCATTAATAATTAAGTATGGCATAATATAGAGATTTAAGACTTGTACACTTTAAGACACTGTTTAAAGAAATCAAAGATACAAATCAATGGAATGATATTTATTTATCTGTGCTTGTGGACTAGAAAACTCAAATGTCACCAAATTTCCATACTAACTAAAGCAATCTACAAACTTAATACAATTTCTATCAAAATCCCAATAACATTTTTGTTGAACTAAGGACTGTTCTTTTCAGCAAATGGTTTTTGGAAAACTGGCTGTTCACATAAAAAAGAATGAAATTGTACCTATACCTTAAATCACAGGCAAAAAGTAACTCAATATTGATAAAAGCATAAATGTAAGACCTACAACTATAAGCTAGAAGAAAAACTTCAGGATGCTGGTTTTTGCAATGACTTCTTGGCACCAAAAATAAGACATCATAAGCAAAAAAGTACAAATGGTACAGGTGCTATTCATCTTGTGCTACTAAAATTCTAAGGCTTCTATGTATCAAAGGAAACAGTACAGTGAAATATCAGCCTAAGGAATAAGAGAAATTATTTGTCAATCATCTATCTCATAAATGGTCAGCATCTGGAATATATAGGTAACTTCTCAACTCTATAAAAAAAGGTGACAAGTAATCTGATTTAAAATTGGGCAAAAGATTTGAAAAGATAATCTTCCAAGGAAAATAGATATGCAGAT